TGATTGGTTTCATTTCAAAGGACAACTCAGCCACCCCAAAAGATGACAGCTCATAAAGGGAAGTGTTTTATTTATTCATTTTCATGCAATTAATTTGTAGCTTCATATCATAGCCAAGCTAATAAAAATCAGAGGGTTTTACCCATTTGAATAGTTTATCCTGATTCAGGACACGGAAAGAAACAAAAGAACCCTGATAAAGCAATATCCATTTAGGACTCTGACTTACATTTTCAATCACTAGGTAGAGCCTTAGTTCAAGCTGCTCAACGTAAGGACAAGAAAGTTTAATATGGTCACACCTGCTGGGGAAATGGCAGTGGGAAAAGGTTCTACTCCTCAAAGGTGCTGACAAGATATCTTAAGATCTAGCTTAGGGGCTAGCAAGGCAATTGGTTAAAAGAAACAAAGATAGTCATTGGATACACACCAAGGTGATCATAGAAGTAATATAGCAAGACCAACATGGAACAGCACATCACCACAAACACCCCAATCATTATGGGAGTCACATCCACTGTCTCATCATCATGTTTTTCTGCCCCATCATCACGCTTGTGCTTCATGGACCTCCTAAAAGACAGAGGAGTTCATATACAATCATGCAGAGTCTAATGACAAAAGCCCTGAATTCAGAGTCAGAGACACTGGGTCTCAAATGCCTCTGTGGACAACATTAAGCTGTGTAACGTTGGGTAAATGACTTCTCTGTAGGGAGATCATTTCTTCATTTGTAAAACTGGAAAAATAGTAATATTCACACTACCAGCTACACAAGGTTGCTGTTGAGGGGAAAAAAAACAAAACCCTGGGAATGGTAAACTTCTAGCAGATACTATTAAAGAGTCTCAAAATTCAGGCAGAAGAAATGCCAAGAGTAGGGGAAAATTAACATGGGGGACACATTCCATATGAGAATTTGTTAGATCTATTACAGTTTCCCCCTTTCCCTGACCCAAAGAAGAGAATACTCCAGGAGAGCCAATATCCAGTTATTAACAGATTCACTGTCCTTCCACTAAGCAGAGGTTATACCAATATGGACGGATTCCTAACAGGAAGTTCTATCAAGGAGACATCATGAACCTCCAAGAAGGAAGAAGAATGGGAGACACTTTAGAAGAGTAAAATTAATCAATAGATAACTAACTAGCATTGTGCTAAGTATTAATAATACAAAGACAAAAATGAAATACTGCTTGCCCTCAAGAGCTTACATTTTAACAGGAGAAACAAAATGTATAATATATGCAAAATGAATGGAAGGAAAGAACTAGCAATTTGGGGGAATCAGGAAAGGGAGTACCCAAGCTGAGTCTTAAGGATAAGTCTTGAAGAAAAGTCTTGACTTTTGTCAGGTTGACAGGGATACATTACACAAAGGAAAAGTACAGCTGTACAATTAGAGCTTACATGTACATTTTGAGTTCTTCCTGAAGAGAACAGAGCTGGAGTTTATGAGGAAAAAGCTGCTTGTCTTCCCAAGAATGATATAACAGAAAAACAGAAGCTATCACAGAAGAGATCATCTACTAAGAGGCACCACTGGAAAAAAATCTAAAAAAAGTATTACTCATGAAGATGAAGTCTGGGCAAGAGACCATAGACCATAGAGGCATAGGATGTGTTTTCACCACTGTTGTCCATTGAAGGCAAGGGAAGCAGAAATAAAAATTTAATTCAGGAAATGAACAGCTAGTGAAGATGGTAGTGTCTGAGAAGGTGATTTGTATTTCTGAATCCTAGCTTACAATACAAATTCCTGGCCAGAGGACAGAATTGTTAGGCATATAACAAAAGCTGATAATAACATATTTATCAAATGTCTTGCAAATTTCATCAAATGGCCTTAAACCAAAAAGGATTGGAGGGGAAGCCCCATGAAGGAAAGAAGATTGCTTGTGTATCTCTAAGTACACTCGAGAGCAGCCACAAAGGAGGAAGAAGGGTAGTGAGGGATCCAAAAATTCACAAGGACAAAATACAAGAAAAAGAGCAAGTAGTAAAACATAGCATCTTAAGTGTCTCCTCACAAATACCCAAAGTTTAGGCAACAAACAGGAGGCATCAATCGAGACCCGTGAAAGCCATGACTGGCTCTGGATGGGTATACCTTATAAGAGAAAGGGAAGTCTGGGGGAGAGGAGGTTAGATGCAGTTGGGTTTTTTTGTTTGCTTTTATCATTGTTGTTTTGTTTTGTTTTTTTGCTTTTTGGTGAGGCAATCGGGGTTAAGTTGGGAGAGGAGGTTAGACAAGGAGAGTAACACTATATTAAAAAAGGAGGAAAGTATGATGGAAACTATTTAGGTCAAGGTCAAAGGAGAGAGAAATAGAAGTAATTTTATCACTAGAATATTGGGACATGCAGACAGAAAGCACAAACAGATGAAAAGTTTGGGAAATAGATCACAAGCCTAATACAGAGGCATGAGACAGTAGTGATGGGGAACTTCAATTATCCAGATATGTGCTAGAGCTCTTTCTGACAACAGCAGAGCAGCTAATCAATTCCTGACTTGCTTACATGACATTGCTGCTGTTTGTCCTTCATTCTGGAAGACGACAATGACATGACATCAGGAAGATCATGGCAACATCCAAGTGAACTGGATTTCAGTGAGGAGGCTGTGCAAAGTTACCAGCTTCACTTTCTCCTCTAGAGCCATCTGCGTCCAGTGGACAGATATGGATCAAGACAACTGGAGATGGCCCAGGATGCAGAGGGAGACCTTGGCCTTTTCTGGCTAAGGTCTTTAACAGGTCTCAGTTGGACTGAGGCAATACATGATTACGGCTAGGTTAAGAAATGAGGGAGAAGAGGGGCAGTTAGGTGGTGCAGTGGATAGAGCACCGGCCCTGAAGTGAGGAGGACCTGAGCTCAAATCTGGCCTCAGACCAAACACTTGACACTTACTAGCTGTGTGACCCTGGGGAAGTCACTAAACCCCAACTGCCTAAAAAAAAAAGAAAAAAAAGAAATGAGGGAGAAAATGGCCTCTTTACCTAGTTAAAAAAAAAATCAATCTGGGAGAGAAAGATTCCTGGAGTTCCTGACCAAAACAGAAACAATTGCTATTTACATTCATTCTGAGCTAAATCAGGGCCCAAACAATGATCAAATAGGGCTTGGCCTGGGACCTATAGTTGGCCAATTATGAAGAACCAGAGTAATTTGAGGTTAAGGTTGGTCTTTAAGAAAGAAACAAAAAAAGTTTCAGAGATTAAAATTTACATTCTCTTAGGGCAGAGCACCCATAGGGGTAAATTAGGTGTGATACTCTAAGTGGAGAGTGAAAAGGAGGGAGAGAGAAGGGGAGAGAGAAGGTGGGGAGAGGGAGAGAGAGAGGGGAAAGAAGCGAGGGAGGAAGGAAGGGAGGGAGAGAAAGAAGAAGGAAGGGAGGAAAGGAAAGAAAGGAAGGCCAACAGACGTGTTGCCCAACTGGCCAGTTCCAGTTTGGTCCCCAGTGGGCAGCTCCTTTTCTACTCACAGAGGTTGTGATAATTCATCATTCAAAAAATAAAGGAAACAAAAATGAGAATTATTCTGGATCTAATCCTCACCAACAGGAAGAACTGGTGGCTAGAGTGGGAAAAATGGAAACCTTGGGTGGAAATGACTACATTTTAGAGTTTCAGCTAAAGGAAGATAAGAAATCTAGGCACAGTATACACGTACTCTAGATTTTGTGAAAGCAGACTTCAAGGGATTCAGAAGAAAGATAGGTAGGATACCATTGAGTGAAACACTTTCAGAGGAAATCAGATGTGGGACCTTGCCAACAAACTTAAAATTTTAAAAGGAAATATACAGAAGATCAAAGCAACTCCAAGTAGCAGAAAATGAAAATGAAAGTACGGCATAGCCTTATAAAAATAGTCAAGAATGACGAAGTGTAAAATAAGCTAAGCCAGGCAAGGGGAAGGGCAATGAAAAGGAGTTTTTTGGTTTCTTTTTTAAATTTATTTTTTAAAAGTTAAAGGGTGAAAAAAAAAAACGCTCAAAGAAAGGACCTTTGCTTAGGGTGAACGGGCTGATGGTAACAGTAGAGCTGCTCAAGTTTTGTCCGGATCTAATACTCACCTTTTCTTTTTTGTTTTCTCTACCAAGGAGATCAACCTTTACCCTGGAAATGACTGAACAAAAATTACTAATAGGGAGCTAATGCCCAAGATTAAAGGAGAGTAAGAGAGTTCCTAGCTGCTCTTGAAGAATCCCAGTCATTTGATCCCAATGAAATGCATCCCTGGTTCTCAATGCACTGGCCGATGTGATGGCCAAGGCACTGTCCATAATATTTGAAAGATATGGAACACAGGAGAGGAACCCTATGATTGGAAAAGGACAGATGTCAAAATTTTCAAAAATGGAAAGAGAAAAATCTATATAAACTACAAGCCAGTAAGCTTGACTTCAAATCCTTGGAAAATTCTAGAAAGGATCATTAAAATAACATTTGGTAAATAAGAAAGGGAAGGGGGAGATTACAAAAAGCCAGCATTGCTGCATCAAAAACAGGTCACAGCAGGCTAAATTAATTTCTTTTTTTGGAAAAGATTATCACCAGCAGATGCAGGGAGTGCTGTGGATACAGTTTACCTAGATTTTAATAAGTATCTCACATAATTCTTGTGCTGAAGATGGAGATACATGGATCAAACAATAACACTGTCAGATGGAGTCTTAACTGGTTGGATGGCCAGACTCAAAGAGTACTTTTTAGTAGTTCCATGTCAAGTTGGCAAGAGATCTCCAGTGGAGTGCCCCTGGGATATGTGCATGCCCTATGTTAATCTTTTTATCAATGATTTGAATAAAGACACAGATGGCATACTTGTCCAACCTGCAGTTGACACTAAGCTGGGAGAGTAGATCTGACTATCAGGATGAAAAACGGATCTTGACAAGCTACAGAACTAATTGTTGCTGGTGGTGGTGGTCCTTTGTTCTGGAAGAGGACCTTGACATCCAGAAATCTGCCACGACTTGCAAATGAATTGGATTTAAGTGAGGGAGTGCAGTGCAAAGTCATTAGACTCACTCTCTCCTCTGGAGCCATCTGGGCCCAGTGGCAAGATATAGATGAGGACAACTGGAGATGGCCCTGGATGCAGTGGGAGTCCTTGGCCTTTTTAAGCTAAGGTCTTTCCTAAATCTAATAAGGTGCAATTCAATAGGAATAAATGTCAATTAGCCTTGCACTTGGGTACCAAAAAATCAACTTCATGCATTTTTATAGATGTGGTAACAGAAGGTCAGAGAGGAGAACTTACTTGTCTGGGGTTGCACAGTTAATAAAGTGTCAAGAGCTAGGATTCAAACTCAGCTGTTCTAAGAGCAAGACTCATTCCACTATACCACACTATCCCAAGCTTAAAAATGGTTCTATTAAAAATGAAAATTATTATGGCACTTTACTCTCCCCAAAAGAAGCACATGACTTTGGGATAGAAGTTTCATTACAGTTACCTCAAGCACACACAAACTAACTTAGGGTCTCAAATTTAGAAATACTACCTCCTCATTTTACAGATGAAGAAACCAAAGTCCACAGAGGTGGAGCAACTTGCCCAAGGTCACATGGGTAATAGAAGAAATAGAGGCAGGATTTGAACCCATGACACTTTGAGCCTCTTCAATTTAGTTCCAAAGATCAGGAGTGGTATAGATCCAGGTGACTAGAAGTTTGCTGTATTCAGCAAAAACTGGGCTAATTACAAGCCAGATTAACTTTGGATAAATGAAATGCTCTTCTGAAGCCCTCAGAATCCTTCCCCCATAGATGGTTCATGGGATATTCTGATTTTCTTCAGTTTTCTTCTTAGAAAACATCTATAAAAACCTGACCCTTCAGAATGGATTATTAATTCTAGGACCGGTGAGGATTAGGCCCCACCCAGGGAACATCGTACCTACGTATTCAGAATACTTACTTCTTCACGTCCTGGCTTCCTGCCCAGTAGCCTCCAACTGCAACTGTCCCCACAGCCATGATGAAGATGATGACCATGTTGTAATCAAGGACAGGCTCCTTGGGGGCGTACATTGCCACTCTCACTGACTGACCAAAAGTCTGTCTCAGAGAAGACATCAGAGTTCATGATAATGTGAACTTTTCCCTTAAGTCCTAAATAAACTTGTCTTTCAGTTACTAACCTGCTTTCACAGGGGGCAACTAAAGTACCTTGCTATTTTAAAGGGCAATCAAAATATTTTTCAAGTCTTATTATTTGTTTAGAGCATTCTTTTATTTTTAAATTCCAAATTCTCTTCCTCCCCCACTAAGAAGGCAAGCAAAATGATGTCAATTATACATATGAAGTCATGCAAAACATATTTCCATATTGCAAGGAAGAAAGAAAGTAGGAAAACGTGAGAAAATTATACTTCAATTTGCACTCAGTTCATCAGTTTTGTCTCTGGAGGTAGATAGCATTTTTCATCACTATTCCTTTGGAATTATCTTGGATCATTGTATTGATCAGAGTACCCAAGTCTTTCATAGTTCATCATTATAACACTGCTGTTACTGTCACAATGATCTCAATGGGCAGTGAAATCTTGAAGATTAAACTACCTCCATTCTTCTCTTGGGTTAGGGAACTAAAAAAAAAATTATTTCTGGCCTGCAGAGGGAACTGCATCTATCTGAAAGGCTTCCAAATTACTTCTTAGCATTGTAGAAATTTTTCCAGCTCATGAAACAAATTCTTAAATTATAGATGAGAGCAAGGATTTCTTGAGGAACTTAGCTTTCACTGGGAGCTTGATGCTCTTCTCTAAACAGCTGCATTCCAGAACAGAAAATAATGTGGGGCAGAACACTGAGGCAGTCTTGGGTGGCCACCTTGTCAGTGCCTAGCATTTCAAATAGCTTTGCTGCAGCAATGATGTCAGTACAGGCTTTTGAATAAGACTTTTACTTTTGACACGTTAAGAACCAAGCAGATGGATGGAAAGCAATGAGAAACTCTGGATGGCTTATTTCCTGAGGACACTCACACTCTTACTTTGAACACTTCTGCGCTTCTCTAGAGAGACAATTTCAGGACTCTGAGCAGAAGCAGCACAATCTCCATGCTGAGTGCCTACCTTGCAAATGTCAAGCATGTCTCTATAGCTGAGGAGGGCCACAGGAATACCAATCTCATCGTATTGAGTCTTGTTGCCTCCTGGAGGGACCTGGGTACAAATAAACCCACCAAAAAAAAAACAAACCAAAAAACCAAACACAGAGAGAAATTACTTTGGCCATCACTTCTCCAACCATACCAGCTGTCTTAGAGAAACTTTTGCCCTGGGACTCAAATGCTCTGACTAGCACCAGCCTGTCCCAGACCACTACTCTAGGAGAGCTTCAGCTATTGCGTTTTACTTCACTCCTGACTCGGGCCATCTCTTCCAGCCTCATCAACAATGCTGTGCATACCCTTTCCTTTCTCTAATTACTATGCATCCCCCCCACCCCTTGTCCAGATCTAGAACCATATACCAAGACCAAAGCAACTATGCCACTGAACCTGAAAGGGGGAAGAGGGCAGCATCACCGACCCTTCCGCAGTCCGGTGGAACCTATGGTCACCTTTTCAGAATAATGTTCTTAATGCATAAAATAAAACACAAAGGGTTACAATGGAAACAAATTGTATTGAAAAAGATGCAATTTCTTTTGCCCTTCCAAATTCTTCCTGAAATCTATCCATAAACCCCCAAGGGGTCCCTGAAGCCTAGATTCAGAATCTTTGCTAAACAGACTTATCTAACTCAAAAATAAAAATGTTTAATCAACTAAAAATAAAACTCTGAAATAGTATGGCCACTAAGGAATGAGTAACTTCAGAGAAAAGCTCTTTCCGTATATCAACAGTATAAGTAAATAGCAGTGATTTTTCAGCACTATCTTAGCAAGAGTGATGAAGGAAGTTTTTCGTACCAGTTTTTCTCTGCTAACTACTAGCAGGCCCCGTGCCCCATTCATCTGGGCCAGTTTCACTTTCTCATAGAAGGTGCAGTTTCCACGCAACACCATAGGGATTCGGTTGTTAAATCCCCCACTGGGGACATCAGATTGAGAACATAAAACAGATGTTGTTTGGTCTTGAAGCTGTAACAAAGACTGAAAAGAAAAAGGTGTTAATGAGTCTGTTTCTGTAACACAGCCAAAGCCACAAAATAAAGTTTTGCACTGGGAAATAGCTGGCCACAGTATCCTGAAATAAACAAACTCCCTTATACCCTTTTCTCATTTTTTGGGGGGGGGGGGGGGAGGGGAAGGGGGAAGATGGAAGGAATTCTCTAAAAGAAGAGGGGGCAAGGATTGTGTCTTAATAATCTATGTCTACTTATGTCTAGCACTGTGCTTTACATATAATTGACACTTAATATTTGCTCAATGAATTAAAAAAGTATTCTAGCTCCACCCCAGCCTAAATTCACTTTCATAAGCCTTAGTCTCTGTATCTGGAGATTCAATTTAACAAATATTTACTAAACATCTACTGTGTATAAGGTTCCTGTGCTAGAAACTGGGAATATGAAAATGAAAAATACGAGTTAGAATGTGGCAAGTGCTATATTACATAAGAGATTCGGAGAGAGAGGGGTATCACTTCTAGATCTGGGGCCCAGGGAAGGCTCCATGAAAGAAATATTACCCAAGTTAGGCCTTGAAAGAAAGGAAGAATTTCATTAGATGGAGACTGGCAAAGGATGAGGATAGGATTGGAAGGACAAGTTGTTCCAGGCATGGAAGATACAAGGACAGGACACTATTAAAGAACAGTAAGTAGACTACTTTGGTTTAAGTGTAAAATTGCATGAAGGAAACTAATGAGACTGGGAATGTAGGATGGAGCTAAACTATGGACTGGGATAGATTTTTTTTTTTTTTTGTATTTCACTCAGTAAGCAGTGGGGAGTCATTGATGGTGTCGGAGCAAAGAGACATGATTCAATTCATACAATAAGATTACAATCTGACGCAGTGGATAGAGCGCCGGCCCTGGATTCAGGAGGACCCGAGTTCAAATCCGGCCTCAGACACATAACACTTACTAGCTGTGTGACCCTGTGCAAGTCACTTAACCCCCATTGCCCAACCAAAAACCAAAAAAACCAACACAACAACAACAACAACAACAACAACAAAATGATTACAACCAAAGGAGGGATCAAAAAGAGAAAACAGGAAGCTGTGAGGCTAGTTGGAAATCCATTATGGCACTGCAAATGAGAAATGATGAGGGTATAAACTAGATTAATGGCAGAAAGGAGATGAATGCAAAAGACAGCACAGCAGGAAAATGTCATGAATTTGACAAGTAATTGGAGGTGGGGATGTAAGAACTGTCTCATTCCACTGAAACTAATATTCTGCCTCTGATTCTATTTCGGTGTCTACCACCTCCTAGGGTAATGAATGCAGTGCTTACTACCTACTGTGTTAAGAGGGATTTATTTTTATCCAGCATAAACTTTTATTCTTCTAAACTTCAAAAGGATAATCTTTAGTTTGAGGGGAAAGAGAAGCAGAGGCAAGAGAGGGAATAACAGAAACTAAGAGTCACAGAAATGTCAAGCTAGAAAATCATCTAGTCCAACAACCTCATTTCACAAAATAAGAACTTGAGACCCCAAAGGGGGAAGTCACATCATGGTACATCTGGAGCAGAGTCAGAGCCAAAGCTTTAGTCTCTCGTCTCTGAACCTAGGACCTTTTCCATGAATCCATACCACTCCAACCTTTTACAAGAACTATATGATCATACTAATGGTCTCCAGGAAATGAGTCACAAATTATCCACCATACACATCAACCTCAGGTAAATACTCCCGTAGGACTCCCACTCAACTTGTTCTGTTTGGCTGAAATGAAGAATGCATTAAGGCAGAGAGAGAATGGGAATGGGGGTATAAAATTGGGCCAGAAATGTAGGTTAGAGTTAACGTTTTATTGCCAGTGGGCAAGAGAGCCACTGAAGACTTAAGGCAGGGAAGTGATGTGATCATTTGCAGTCCTTCTCTTTCTATTCCTACGGCCACCTCCCAGTTCAGTATCTCATTATCTATTATAAGAGCCTCCTAACTCACCTCCCTATCTTCTTTTTCTATTCTTTCCAAGTTCTGGAAGTTCTGGAGTATTAAGCACGGTATAGACAAACAGGCAAGGGCCTTGGGCTTAGAAACGATTCCTAGGCTCGATTCCTGGCTCCGTCACCCACTGGTCAGGCTAGATACACTGGGAGACTACTATATTCCCTTTACCACAACAACTAACTACCCTTAGACACAACTACTAAGCAGCCTCAGCTGGGGCGCATGGTGACTGGGACAAAATCACAGTAACCTGCACCCTTTTTTGACTACTATTCCCCAATGGAGTGGAGGACCCACCCCTCCCCCCCCATATTTACATTTACAACCATTCAGGAACGGAGTTCAACTGAGACGACTATAAAAACAAATGACATGAGGTAATGAGAGCCTGCATCAGTGAGGGCAGTGTCAGAGAAAAGAAGTGGGAGTTTCTGAAAGATGCTGCAAAGGTAGAATGGAGAGATAACAGATTGGAAATGACGGGGGAGAGGGGTAGTCAGAGAGAGGAGTTGAGGATGACATCCAGGAGACAAGCCTGCATCTAGAATGATGGTTGTCCCCTCAGTATAACAGGGAAGTTTGGAAGGGGGAAAGTGTTTGTGGGAAAAGAAAATGAGCTCAGTTTTGGATATGTTAAGTTTAGGATGGCTCCAGGACATCAAGTTTGGAGATGTGAGACTGGAAGTTAGCAGAGAGGTTAAGTATGGATAAGCAGACTTGAAAATCATCAGCACAGAGACGATAACCGAATCCATGGGAGCTGATGAGATGATCAAGTGAAATAACATAGAGGGAGAAGACAAAGTGGCCCGGGACAAAGCCCTGTGGGACACGTCTGGGAACAAGCATCATATTCACATTCTATACTTGTCAAGTATAACTGTGACCTTTACACACAATTTTAGAGTTGGCTCCCAAGATGCAAGATTAATAGTGGATGAATAAACCATGACAGATAAATGAATCATGAAGATCAAACCAGGATTCAAAAAAATCATGCTAAAACTTACCTTTTTTCATTCAAGTGCCTTTAGCACTAGCTTCTAAACAAAGGATAATTAACCAAAATATCAATGGCACAATTGTAACTAGAGCTAACTCAAAGTGAAATAGACTGTCTAAATTCTTAGGTAATAAAGTTCCTCACTACTGAAAATAATAAAAATTGGAAGATCATTTGTTATGGTTGTCATTCATGTCAGGGGATTCATTCTTCACATAGGAATTAGACTAGAGGACCCTCCAGGGTCTTTCCAACTCTTTAACTACAATTCTGACTAAGAATGGCACTGTAATTTCAGATTAAGAACTGTTGGGGGGGCAGCTAGGTAGTTCAGTGGATGGAGCACCAGCCCTGGATTCAGGAGGACCTGAGTTCAAATCCAGCCTCAGACACAACAGTTACTAGCTGTGTGACCCTGGGTAAGTCACTTAACCACATTGCCTAGCACCCCCCCCAAAAAACAAAGAACTGCTGGCTCCCTTACCAATATTATAATCTTAGATTTGTGTATTACTTTATACTTTTCAAACTATTTTCAGTCATTAAGTTGATTCAATTAAACAAATGTGTATTAAGCACCTGTTATGAAAGGCCCTGAATAGTTGCTAGAGATACAGACACAAAAATGGCCTCATTGGAGTCTGTATTCTTCCTACAAGCCTATGAGATAGGGCTAACAGGTATTATGATCCCAATTTTATAGCCAGAGACACTGAGGTTCAGAGTGGTTAAATAATTTACTTGCCCAATGTCACAGAGCAAGTTAATGGACTGGATCTGGTCTTCTAACTGAAGAATTAGGAAACAATTGCCCTAAACACATAGTTTAATGCAGTATAATGGAAAAAAGCACTAAAATTAGAGCCAATGAACTTGGGTTCTAGTTCCAGGTCTACACTATATGATATTAGACAAGTCACTATACCTCTGTGGGCTTCATTTTCTTCATTTGTAAAATGAGGGGGTTGGGCAAGATCAACTTCAGGGTCCTTTTAAAGACAAAGTAATATAATTCCATAACTATAATTTATGTTTGGATTCCCTAACAGGTTTTGTCCTCTTAACTTTCCTTTAATGAAGTAGAACTTTTAAAATGGCTAACTGTAAGACACACACTGACACTGGAAGGGGTGCTTCCAACATGAGTAGAAGTCAAAGGCAAGTGGAACAGAGAACCTTCTAAAGTCCAGTAAAAGCACTGGAGGTCCCATGAGAAGGACCATCCAGGAACGAGAACTACCTATGCCACAAATGAATATCTGATGCCCAATTCAGGTACTTACTGCTTTGCCAAGGCCAGGTGGCAAGTGGGCCCATTGGGAATTATACAGGATACAGTAGTCTTTTTCTTTGCCAATTCCTGGCTCAGCGATCACATGAACCATTCCATACTCACAGGTCACCTGAAACCATAAGAGATCGTTTTAAGAGAACAAACATACAGGAGATTTTAGGCAATGAATCTCCAAATTACTCATGGTCACACACAAATTCAAAGTCAAACTGGCCCACTTGCTATTCCCTGTATGGGATATTCTACCTGCTCCCTCCTTACCTTTGCATTGGTTGTCAGCCATGCCTAGAATGCTCTCCTCTAGCTAGCTCTGCCTCTTGGAATCCCTAGCAACATTTAAGACCTCAGATCAAGTCCCACCTCCTACAGGAGACCTCCTGTTGTGTCCTATACCTGGCTCCCTCTCCAAATGCTCACAAGTACATACTTCATATTTACTGATGTGTAAATGTTGTCTTCTTCCAAAAGAATCTAAGTTTCTCAATGCTTGGCATCTTTTGGGGAAGTCCATATTTGAGACTGTACTCCAGAACTGAGACATCTCAATGTAGAAACTCCTTGCACTAACGACGAGCTTATCTGTAAACTTATGGTATGAAGAGAGTTGTATGGAGCACTGAGTACTGGTTATCATCCAGTGTCTAACTAAAGTAATTTGTCCATGGTTCCATAGCAAACATGCATCAAAAGCAAGACTAAAATCCAGCTCTTAACTTAAAAATCTGTCCTCTCTCCACTATGCCACACTGCCTACAACCTGATACACTGAGTAGGAATTTAATAAATACTTGAAATGAATTCAAATGTTGAAAACAAGGATGATTTTTACTGAGACATGGTGCTACTCTTTATGTGGTTGTAGGTCATCTTCATTCCACTGAGACAGATAAAGAAGAAAACCTTCCACTAAAGTGCCAATAACAATCTTTTCTGTCCATAAAGGTCTAACTTGAAGAATGCTAATCCCCCTAGGTAAAACGGATTTTTCTTTCATGATTTCACACCACTTTATGCTTTTCACCATGTCCTAATTTACATTATGTTTGTGTTATATTGTGGCACAAAGACTTCTTTTTTATATTCCTCAGTATCTGGCACATAGCAGGTACATATGCTGAAAGGACCTCAAAAATCAACTTGTCAAATTATCTGATTTTACAAAAAGGGAAAGTAAAACACAGAGAAATTAATTATCATAGGTAGGAAGTAGTAAAGCTGCCATTCAAACTTAAGGTCTCTTAATTCCAAAACCAGTGATCTTTCCACCATACCATGTTCTCCTTGCCAGGCCACAAAAGTAGTACTTTACCTTATAATCATAGGCCTAGACACTTCTTGAGTCTCCCCAAGTGGAAAGAATATGACACTTCTCGTCAGAACATATGAGATCCAATCTAAACTTTGCATTCATTAGCTATGTGATCTGGGATAAATTGGTTCATTTCTCTTCACAATAACACTTTAGTCAATTTCACATAAGTTGTTTTTATTTTTTAAACAATTAATTTATTTATTTTTAGTTTTCAACACTCACTTCCATAAGATTTTGAGTTTTAAATTTTTTCCTTTTCCTTCTCCTCCCCCCTCCCCAAGATAACATGCAATCTGATATAAGCTCTACTTATACATTCATATCAAACATTTTCACATTAGTCATGATGTAAAAAAGAATTAGAACTAATGGGAGGGACCATGAGAAAGAAGAAACACAACAACAAAAGAAAAGGAGAGTAAATAGTATGCTTCGATCTGCATTCAAACTCCATAGTTCTTTCTCTGGATGGGGATAGCATTTTCCATCGTGAGTCTTTTGGAGATGTCTTAGATTCTTTCATTGCTGAGAAGAGCTAAGTCTACCAAAGTCAGTCACTGTACAAAGTGGCCGTTGCTGTGTACAATGTTCTCCTGGTTCTGCTCATTGAACTCAGCACCAGTTCTTACAAGTCTTTCCAGGTAGGATTATGGTTTTTAATCCATTCTGCTGTCTGCTTCCATTTTATGGGAGAGTTCACCCCATTCACGTTCACAGTTAAGATTACTTACTACCCGCTTCACATAAGTTGTTGTGAAGTCACATTGTAAATAACAGTATCTAGCATTTACACAGCAATTAAGATTTGCAAAGCATTTTACATGTTACATCTCATTTGATTTTTACAACTCTGTGAGGTACTATCATCTTCATTTTACATATGAGGAAACTGAGTTAGGTGACTTGCCAAAGGTCACACAGTTAGCAAGAGTCTGAGGTAGACTTAGGTCTACCTGATTCCAAGTTTGACACTACTACTAATTCAAGAGCTAACTCCCTCTTTGCCTCTCAGTTTTCGGTCTAATATTTCACTTCAGGTCACATTATTGACCCAAGAAACATAATCCTTTACTGGTTATCCCCTAGTGTAAACCATCAACATCAAATACTGCCCATGTTATGGAAGCATGTCACAACAAAGCCCCTACACTATTTATCACTGGCTTGAAGATGTGTTTTTACATTAATATTTGAGTATGGGTAAGATATATGTTCTGGAAATTCATAGTGCATCAAATAATAAAGTCACACGGCTCAAGAGCAACTGAAATGTCATTTGGCTTCCCTAAATTTTAGTTCTACCCTTCTCTGTTCCCCACTCTTACTCTATGGTAGGAATAAGTTGGTGCTTTGTTAATGTACCAACCAGGTAGGGTTACCTTTTCCCTCTAAACGTTTTCTGGTTTATATCTGGCTAGGATAAGGAAAAGGGACCAGCTAGTCCACCTGAAAAGCCCCTCCTTTCCAACTCTTGGTGGGCTACAGGTAGGAGTAAACAAAAATTCTGATACCAACAAGATGATTCAACAAAAATGTATGTGGAAGACTGATAACACTCCTCTTCATTAATCAATTTGGATTATCCACATTACTCTCCCCTTTCTTACAAAAAAACCCCAAAACCCAAAAAACTGGCTACTCCTTCCCATTTCATTTTCTCACAAGTATACTACTGCAACATGCTCATTCCTCAAACCAAACTTTTGCTCACACCTTTGTCTTCACCTTCAGTAAATCCCCAAACCTTCAATGATTGGCTAAAGACCCAACTCTTATGCCATATGCATTGATTACTCCAACTATAGGGTAACATTCCAATCCATATGGAATACCATTTTGGTCCATGAATCATGTACCATAGGAAATCTCAGATTTACAAACATTCCACTTATGAAAAACCAAAACCTCAGAACAAGCTACAGAGGAGGTCCTCAATGAGAGCAATTATCCTTTTGTCTCCCAGTTTAAAACACTTGGAAAATAATTAGAATCACTTCCTCTTATGAGATGCAAACATGTCAACCCAATCACATGGAGAATTTGAGAGTCAAAAAACCAGGGTAGAAGTCCCAGACCTAACATTTGCTAGCTTTATGGCCAGTCCCTGAGTCTCAGTTTCCCATCTGTAACTCCAAGAATCTGTGATTTCATGAAGGTTTCCTCCAATTGTGCCAAGTGCAATCCATCTAAGCTTGCCCTTCCTGTCTGACACTCATCTATGCTATAAATTGAACACAAGGGATCCAACTAATGAGCTAGAGTCCCCCCTCAAATTCTCTTCACAATAAGCTAGAGGCATTCCTTAGGTTCTCTTCATATTGTGTGTATACAAATAGAGAACACAAACTGTCCATTGGTTCTACCCTGGTCTTAACATGTGGCTGACTTATTTTGCCAAATTTTTTATTTTGCATTTTAATTGATATCTTTTGTTTTTATATCACCTTCATTTCCAAATACATTCCTCCACTAACCAATAGGGCAATATTTTATAACAAAAAATAAGAGGAAAAAATACAGTTCAATAAAAACACACCAACTGAATTTGATCATATATTTAACATTCCATACCTATGGTCCTCAATCTCTGCAAAGGAGGGAGATACAGTTTGGTCATTGTAACTACACAGCATTCAGTTGTAGGTTTGGTTTTCTTGTTTTATTCTTCCCCTTTCTGTTTACATTGTTGTGATAATTGTTATGCAGTTCTCTAAAAGTTTTACTCCCATTTGAACACAGTGGTTACCCTCAAAGTCAAACACCCCCTCCCCATTGAACGCTTCCTTGTAACAATGAAAAACAGCTGAGCAACAAAAAAAAACCAAAACCAAAAAAACCCAACACAATGACCATGTCTGACAGCATTCTACAACTGTAGTCCACTACACCTCCACTGAGGAGTTCTCTAGTCAAGGTTGGTCATTACAATAATCTTAGTTCTCAGATTTAGCATTGCTTTCCTTTATATCAATTTTGTTGTCATGTATACTGTTCTTATTTTCTGCTTACTATGCTGTGCATCAGTTAATTCAGGTCTTTCTTAGAAACACAAGTCCTCCCAAGACTCTAAATTATTACTATTTTTTTTTTTTTGCCAATTGGGGTTAAGTGACTTGCTGAGGGTCACACAGCTAGTAAGTGTCAAGTGTTTGGTCTGAGGTCGGATTTGAACTCAGGTCCATTCAGGGATGGTGCTCTATCCACTGCACCACCTAGCTGCCCCTCTAAATTCTTTGTTTTTACTTTGTCCCTTCCTACAACAGAGTGCTATGAATATTTTACTTATATACTGGACCTTTTTTCTTCCCCCTAGAGTAACCTCCTTTAGAGGATATATGCCTAGCTGTGGGATGATTGCTACCTAGGTCGATGGGTTTGAACATTTTAGTGACTTTTTTTCACAGTTCCAAATCTGTTTTCTTGATGAAAGGGACTAATTTGCAGATTCACCAGAGGTACAGTATTAATGTACTTGTCTTTCCATAAACCCTTCAGTTACTATTTCCATTTTAAAAATCAAATTTGCCAATTTGATGAGTGAAACCTTATAGTCGTTTTTAATTTGCTTTTTTTTTAAATATTAATGATTGAGAGCTGGCTCAGCTTCTTAAAATCTAGCCAATAGCTCGGTAATGTTCAGATTCCTTAAGAGTCTGGCCAATATGACGGATGTCCTAATAAACCTTGTCTTTTGCTAAAAGAAGGGTTGGGTCAAATTCTTTCGGGCACGACCTGTGTGTCGTGATTTCGGGGTCCCAGCACCCCTAAAACCCTAAACACCAACATTTTGGTGGCCC